GTCATGGAATATTCCGAGTTGAGAACTTGCCTCGCCTCACCCACTGTTGTGTTGACGGGCCACAATAACAAGGCGACACATCCCTTGGCCTCAGCTCTGTGCAAGTTCAAATATTGTCAGGCAAAAGTCGCAACATTGGGTGATGAGTGCGGTGCGAGGGGAATCTATGTATGTATGTATGTTTCTATTACAGATGTGACGTCACCCAGCCAAACATCAGACAACGTGAATCGTGAAACGTTGTAGCTGGTTATATGTCAGCGATAAGTCGAAAGGCAGTAGGAGACTGCCGACAGCCCGACGACGGCATATTTATGAGCCCATTTCCACAATAAATCCCTACCAAAAAGATAAAACACTCCAAAGCTGCGTGAGAATGGCACAGTTTTTGTACTTGGCCTACGATCAAAATTCAAGACGAAGAACCTTCCTTTCGCTGCCTGCATTTATATAATATTACTCGCATTTTTAGAGTAGAGTAAAGAAATTCGAGTAAAAACACAGAACCCAGGCAGAAAACAGAACTCGCCTTGTTTATGAGCAAATATATTAAATCATTTTGATTATGCTGTTAGATGTTCTAGAGCCCCTCCCCATCTGTGATAACGTAGAGAGGGCACAGATAAGGCTGCCATATATATTTACATATTATAACGTGGCCTGACTCCTGCCAGACTCCCCTTCAGCCCGACTACGTCTGCTTCAGTTCAATTTTAGTATAGTTTGGGCGAAAAACAAACCACTTAACATTATGTTTGGGCCTGGCCGGCTGCAGCTGTCGTAAATATCTCCCACTCGCAGTGGCTTCGCGTAAAGTTTTCCGAACCAAAATTGAATACAACATAAGTCCATGTAGCCATATCAGATACAGGGGTTCTGCTCTCCATGTCTGCTCAAGGGTGTGCAGCCAGGCAAAAGTCATTGCACTCGCCTCATTCAAGTTCACATGCAAATTGGATAAATCCAAAATCGTTTAGATTTATGATACAAAAACAGGCCGCATCAGCGATTGATTGATATTTCATTCTACGCTACGTATCCCCAACACCTCTGACAGCCGCCCGACCCAACTTCCGCGAAGTTCATTGACACGACACGGAGTTTAGATTATCAGCTCAGTCGTTAGTTTTCCATTCTTCTGGCAGGCATCTGTCTGGCATCATCTGGGGCCACTGACGTGTTATGTCGTTTCGCTAAAAAAAGAAAAGAAAAAAAAAAACGGCAATATGTCGCAGTCGAGCAATTTATTTCCTCTTGCCTAATCGACAAATTTGCTTAAGATGACAGCAGCTTGTCCACCCACACCATCTTCATCTGCACCCTCACCTGACTCTCGACTGTTTTTAGCATTTAAATCCAATTTATTTGTTTGCTCTGAAGAACACACAAAAAGAAACCAGCCAAATCTGTGCCTCTGTGCCAACAACCAAATTTTGTTCTAATGACATTTGGCAGTATTTTTTTTTGTGCAGTTTGCTTTTGTTGTATGCCGTGAGTCAAAATTGTTTTTTAATATTATTTAATTTTTATTTAATTATGCAGCTATTCAAATGGATGTGTTTTTATGGCTTCACACCACGGAAGCAAGTTGACATTTTGGGTAATGTTTCGTGGGCACAGCCGACTGACAAAAAAAGGAGTGATATTAGCGGTTTTTATGAACGGGTTTTTATTTAGGAAAATTTTCAAATAATAATTATAATTTATGGCAATTTCGTAAAACATGAATTGCCTTTAATTTCAATTATTCTGTGTGGATGTTGGCGTACATCGCTGGCTTTTTTTATGGTATGGGATGTACATTCTTTGCAGGTCTTATTGTGTCGTTCATTGGACCCTTAAAAATACTCTAAATAAATAAACTTCAGAGGCCTTCTGTGCTCTTGTTACATGCATTTCTTTTCAGATCGAATATAATCCATTCGTATTTCTAAAAGGTTTTATCTTTCAAATATTTAGCGTGTGACCATCATAAAAATTCTCATATGAATGCAAATTAATTCCCAGTTTACTTTCTCACACCGCTTCTTATGAATAAAACTAGAAATTCTATTTTGAGACCGCAGTTGTTGGCACATAACAGAAGTTATTTTATTATACATACGTATACCCCTGCAGCTCTCTGTTTGCTTCTTTAATTAAAGAGTATAAAATGTCAGAGGCCTCTGGTAACCAATGCTAAACGCACCATGGAGCATGCCTCAACGTGAATCATAAAATAAATAAATAAGTGCGACGCGCTCAGTGACCGATTTGTTGAGGGACAGCTACGCATCCGCTAGATACTCGTACTCATCCGTTGTGCACACATGCCGGCTTTGGGTGTCAGTGGTGTATCGTGGGCATCGCGGCTGCTTGGGGGGTGGGGTTTTGGCTTTGGCTTTGGCTTCGGTTTGGATTTTGTTTATGTCAGTGCCGCATTTTTTCTGGGGAAAGACCAAACAGACGCTTCTTTGTCACCGCATTGCTGCAAAAATTAGCAGGCAAAAATTGGATATACAAACATATGGAATATGGAATATCAGACTTGTCAGACTTATCACTCAGCAAACCCCCTTCCAATGTCCAATGCCTGTCCGGACTGGACTGGACTGGCCTGGACTGGTCGCGACTGGAATGTGAGTCAGTTTGTTGAGGTAAGCGTAAGGTAAGCCATGACTTCTTTGATATTATACTGGTGCCTGGTGCCAGGTGCCAAGCGATTAGTCACGCCTCCCATTTGCCGGCAAAACTGCAATCAGAGTTGTCAACGCCCATGCGCGCCGCCGCCACTTGGCTTCATCTGGGTACTTTATCTCTAGTTCTCTCTCCCTCTGATGCTAAATGTTCGGGTGGTGCTCGACTTTTTTGTTTGTTTGAGTAGCAAACCCGTTGATGCCAATCACCGACTCCCATATAGAGCAGACATCTCGGTTCCAGCTGCACCTGCCCCATGCCCGTGGCCATCATTTGTGGCAATCATATTATACAATATATCCAGACCGAGAACAATTCATTTTTTTGAATTTTGTGTATTATGAAATGAAACACGCGTTCGCCTCAATCAGACCAAATCAAATGTGTATGGAATATTGGTTGTTGCTGCTTGCTGCGGGTATTTCTTTTTGGTTTTATGAATCAATTAATACGCTTATGGGCAGAAGCAGAAGCAGAACCAGCAGCAGAGGCTGAAAATGCTGAATGAAATGTTGAACTTGTGCGCCCCTTTGGTCTGGTTAAGTGTTTGTTCGTGTTCTAGAGCTCTTGTCGGCAGGGCAGGGAAGTTGAGAGCAGTGCGAATATGTCGAGTAGAGTTTGGATCGATGAATTCACTCGCAGAGTGTTGGTTGGCAAATTGCTCTGGCATCCAATATGCTGTAAACTTTCCGTTGTTCAAATTAATTGGTTGGTGAAAATGTTTCAGCTCAAAAACTCTTCGCTCCTCTGTCGGCTGCAGAACGGATCTGTGGCGTGGGTTATAGCTTAGCGGCAAACAAGTTTCAAGCTTCCAATTGAAATGCCCTCCCAATAAAAAGTCAGCAGATTAATTCTTTTAAGACACATAATCTTTTATTTGAATAGAGTTTTGTTGCTTGGTGTGTTGTTTGGTTTGGTTGATGTTTCTTTTTCTTTCGATTTTCGATTAATAATTAATTTGCAGTTATTATTTTTTTCTTTCTCTTTCTCTTTTCTTTTTTGCTGCTGCAATTTGGGTTTTTGTTTCGGTTTCTTTTCAGATTAAAAGCTAATTTGTCACATTGAATTATGTTTTTGTAGGTTTTGTTTTTGCTTTTGCTTTGCGCTTACAATTAATCGTAATGTTTAAGCGAATGACAGTTGAAATAAATTTGAAAAAAAAAAATATCACTATATACTAGTAATGTATACATATATGCTTTGTGTGTGTGTTTATGTATGTAGTATATAAACTATTAATACATATGTTTTAAGTTATTTCTCAATGCATTTCGTAAAGACATTCTTACATTCTTGTCTGTTGGTTTTCCTATCCGCTCAACATCATCACAATAATTGGTTTTGAAATACATTTTCTTTGTCCGAACACACATGCATAAATATTTATAGATATACCGTATGGTATATGGTATATGTATGCACACACACTCCATCCATGTATATAAAATATAAACTTTAGAAATATAAATTCGAGGTTGGTTTTTTGTGTTGTATTTTGTTTGTGTGTGTGTGTGTGTGTTTGTGGAAAGCGAGTCAGTTTGGGCAGCGGATAATCAAAGCGGGCTAAAAGCGAACTTAGGATATAAAGCTTTCTGGCCTGGAGCAAACGGCCAAGCGAAAGAAGAGACAAATGCCAGGGCCATTAGAGAGCACTGCAGACCCAAGTATGTTTAATACATGAGCCGAGGCCCCCCCACCAACGAGGAGGGGGCTCTGACTTCTGACCTACTCGCACAGCCGCCGTCCATTTCTCACTTGAAATTAAAACTAATGAGGTATTTAGCTGCACGCAATGCCATGAATTCTATACAAAGAAAATTGACTTTAATGGACCGACCGCCCGCTCTAAAATAAGTTACTGACTGACTGACTGACTGACTGTCTCTCTGGCTGTCACTCTGGCTGTCTCTCTGGCTGTCTGACTGGTTAAGCTGCGACTACAGCTGCAGCTGAGGGCGACCATTGCATTGATTGACGCGCTTTCAATATGAAAACTGCGGCCATGCAATGGTCGCACCCTAGGCCACGGCCACAGGACACGGCAGACGAATGGCCAGACGGGACAGACAGGGCGACAGTTTGAAAAGCACTGCTCGGCACTAGGTGCTCGGTTGTAAGAACTACTACACTTATGGCTCGTATGGCTCTAGAATACACATATGCTTTGCACATTGACTTAATTAACTTATAATTGAATGTTTAGCGTTTCTCGTTTCTCGTTTCTCTTAGCCAGAATGTTTTGGAGTTAAAGCTTTTCGTGTTTGTTTGTTTGTTTTGTTTGTTTGTCTAATAAATATTTACACAGATCTCTCTAATAATATTAATAATAATAATAATAGTTCTAGTATAAAGTTAATATAAATAATAAATTAGCTGGAGCTTTCGTGTGTGACTGGTTTAAAACTGTGCTGTCTTTGCTATATTTTCTCGATTGGTTTTTCGATTTGTGTTTTGGGTTTTGTGTTTGAGTAAAAACATTAAATGTTCATATGATACTTAGGTACATTGATTCCTATCCTTGGCTTGGTTCCAGTTTACAGTTTGATAATTTCTTATACGAATTTCATTTAATTTGACTTGTACACAGATGTTTCTATATTGTTTTGTTAAACTTTTTCTTTTTAAAGGTACTTTTGTTTTTTACGCTTATTTTTTGTTATTCTTTGTTTTTTTTTGTATGCACATCAAACTGTTTGAACAGTTTGACAAGCACTCGCATATATCGTTTTTCTTTCTTTCCTTCTTTCTTTCCTTTTGTTTTTCTTGTTTTTTTTTTGGCATGAGAAGCTTCTAGGACAGCATTTTTTCGGCTTACAAATTCAAAGTCAAACACTTTTTGTTGTCTTTGCTAATTGGTAACTTACAAATTACGAATACTGTTTTTAGAATTCTTCAGCAAGTGAGTGTACTCCGTTCTCCGTTCTCCGCGGGCAGACCGACCTCCCTTAGACCTCTGTGGGCATGCCACAGTTGGACTGCAGCTTCTTGGAGCCGCGAAAGAACATCTCGAAGAGGCGGCCATGGCGCGCCTGGTACTTACGCGGCGTTGGCGGACTCAGTGAGATGTGCTCCACAATGGTGATGCCGCGCTGCAGTTTGGGGCGCATTTGCCTTGTCTGCGACGGTGGTGGTGGTGGTGGTGGGGCTGGAGCCGTAGTCGCTGGCGGCGAGGGCAGGTCCTCGGACTCTGCCGATCCTCGTGTTGTCGCCCCAAAGTTGATGATGGTGCTGCAGCTGCTGTTGGGCCGCAGCGTCAGCGTTGTGTGGACCGCTGCGGGCTGGCACTGGCTGACGAGGGAGCTCTGGGGCGTCAGATAGCGACAACTGTTGCTACTGTACTGGGAGAGTTTGCTGCTGTTTCGCTGCAACTGGGCGGCATGGGGTCCGGCCACGATTCCGCCCCCACCAGTGCCATTGGTCTTGATGCTGCTGCTGCAGTGGCGCTGCAGGGAGCTCGACGAGTCCAGGCCAAAGAGCCGCTTGACTCCGCGGCGCACCCGCTTGTTGCGGTAGGCGAAGATGAAGGGCGAACTGAGGTTGGCCAGCAGTATCATGAAGATGGCCAGCTGCGAGGAGCCCCCAAAGTTGGCCGCCGAGAGGCGTGCCTGCAGCAGCACCAGCAGCCCAAAGGGCAGGTAGGAGACCACGAACATGATCACCACCAGGATGCTGATGCGGGCGGCACGCGACTCCTCGCGGTACTTGAACAGCGAGCTGGCATTGCTCAGTCGGTGACGCAGCGAGCTCATGTAGCTGAGGGCCTTGGGCGAGGCGTGGATGGCGGGTATCTGGAGGGCGTGGCCCGAGGGTCCGCCCAAGCTGCCATGCAGCTGGTGCTGATGTTGCAGCTGCTGGTGGCGGGGCGAGCTAAAGTGCGGGTGGTGCTGCTGTGGATTCTGCAGGCTCTGCTGGTGCTGGTGCTGCTGCTGCTGCTGCTGGTGATGCTGCTGGATCGACTGCTGCTGCTGGAGCTGTGCGTGCCCCAGCAGATGCGGCGATCCACACTCGTCGCTCAGCGAGTCCTGGCGCAGTTCCGTGTACTTGTGCAGATTGGGGGAGCTGTGCACCTGGCGGATGCCCTGCAGCCGGTTCGTCTCGCGCAGATCCTGCGAGGAGGTGCCCAGCAGCGGCAGCTGGCGGGCCGAATAGTTCCGCTTGATCTCGCCGCTGGCTGTCTGGAGGGTGAGCAGAATGTTCTGGTTGCGATCGGCCAGCGTCTGCTCCGGCACGGGCATTAGCTGGATGCCAACGTTGCTGTCCGCATCGGCGTCCGAGCCTCCGTCATCGGAAATGGTCGGCAGGAGCACCTTGGCCGCCGAGTCGCGGCGCAGGCAGCTGGGTGAGCTGCGCTGCTGGCGCTGATCGATTTGCATCTGAAGACCGCCCACACTGGCGCTGCCTCCACCGCCGCTGCAGCCGCCATGGGAGCTGGCCGAGGAGATGGAATGCCGGTGCACGCACAGGCTGTTGGCATACTGGCTGTTGGTCTGTGCTGCCTGGTGGGCTCCCGTCAGATTGAGGGCGCTCTGCAGCAGCGGCGAGGATCCGTTCTGCCGCATCCGCAGTCCGTTGCCGCGTGCCTCGCTGAAGATGCGCCAGTACATGCCGCAAACGAAGCCAAAGGGCAGCAGGATAATCACGATGAAGTACACGCAGGCGTAGATCACACCGAAGATGCTGTTGGAGCTGGTGATGTGGAAGAAGGTGGCCGCCAGACGCCGCTGCCGGCTCAGCAGTGTGTCCGCCTCAAAGTCGAGCACCCGGAAGGCGGACAGCGCCCCAAAGAGTATGCCAATGACCCAGGTGAGGGCGATGAAGACCCATGTCTTCACGCCCGAAATGCGGCTGTGGTAGCGCAGGGGATCGGTGACTGCACACCACGTGTCTCCCACCACGAGGAGCACAGCGAGGGCGCCCAGGGCGGCCGTCATGTCGATGGACCAGCAGCGCATCTCTACAGGCGGCAGCACCAGCGCCGGTGTGGGCGCCGGACTGGGTGTGCTGGCAAAGGCGCTGAGGTTATCCCCGTGGGTTTCCGTCTCCGTGATGACGATGCCGCCATCGCCCCGCTCGTCGATGGTCAGCTCCTGGCAGTAGGTGGCATTGCACTTGAAGATGGTCTCGATGGTGTCGCCATCTGTGACGTTTCGCCGCACCACGATGCCGTCCTGCTCGACCACCTGGCCTTGGCGTCGGATGGTAACCTGATGGTTGCCCGGCTTCGAGTAGAACTCGATGCTCTCCGCTGCGGGACTGCCGGACTGAGCCTCGTTGAGGCTCCTGACGCCGCCCAGAAAGAGTGTGGGCGCGAGAATGCAGCAGCCGATCAGATTGATGGCCAGCAGATTGATGGTGAAACGATTGGCTGTGGTGCGGAGTCCGGGCGTGATCCAGAACGCGCACAGCGCCAATAGGTTGATGAGGAACGAGACGAGCAGCAGGGCCAAAATGAGAAAATCTATGGCCATTCTTGTGGCTATTTCTGTTGGAGTTTCCCGGCAGATGGTTGCACGCACATCACTTTACAGTTCGACAGTCACTCTGTCTGTCTGATTTCGAATTTAATTTTTCGATATTAATTTTTGTTTTGTTTTCTTTTGTTTGGTTTTATTTTGGTTAGCTTTTTTTTGCTGTTGCTGTTTTGTTTTGGTTTTGGTTTCGGCTTTGCGCTTATGTGTGTTTGGCTTTGCTTATGACACAAATTTCACTCGCTTTTAACGTTTCTTTTCTGGTATCTTTTTTTTCACAAACTTTCAGCCAATTTCTGTTGTATTTCTGTTGTATCTTTTCCCGACAACAAAACTTTTCGTACTTTTGTTGTTTTTTTGGTTGAAAATGTTTGCCGTGCCGCGGTACGGATTTTTTTTTGTTTCTTGTTTCTTGCGAACGCTTGCTAATTTACACGCGAAGTTCGTCGTCGTCGTCGTCGTCGTGTTCAACAAAATAATACGATATTCCCACTGCCAATATGTGGTTTCGGTTTGTGTGTTTTAAGTGATTTATTTCTCGCGGTGTAGGGCGCGCACCGATCGAGCACGATCTTCACTGCGAAGCGTTCCAAGCACAACTGTCGTGTGGGGCTGCCGAAGCGCCCCCAAATATACGCGAAGCGAGACTGGCCGACTGGGAGACTGGGAGAGAGCGGAAGGCCCCCCACAACAGGGTATATTTTATGGAAGGGTATGGCGAGCGCTGTGAGAGCGGTGAGCGCTGTGAGAGCAAGCGAGAGCGTTGTGGCTGCCTAACTGTGATTTGCAATTCCCACGCTCCGACTTTGAATGCTGCTGCAAGTTGTTCCTCTGCCCGCCTCCTGCTGTCTGTCTGTGTGCGTTGCCAGCCTGTTGCCAGCCGGTCTTTATCACAGAGTCTCTGCCTCCGTTTGTGGCTCTTGCTGCTACTTTTGCTGCCGCTTCTGTCCTAGTTCACGATGCCCGGCAATACAAATTGTATAATCTCTTTTTTCTTTGTTGCAATGGCAATTGCCGCTTCACTTTTGCTCTGTATTACATCAGAGCTCGATGCTACTGGAGCGGTAGTTGGCTACGTTGCGGTAGGGGGTGGTTGGGTGGTTGGGTGTTCTCTCTGCAACATCCAGTGCAGTGCTGCAGCAGCAGTGGCAGCAGCAGTGGTGGGGTGGCCACGCTCTATTTTCCTAACCATAAAAATTGCATTTTTATTGGGCCGACCGCTGTGCAAATAAACAACGACACAACACTTATTGTTTCGCGTTTCTTCTCCTTCTGCCAGCTGATGAAATTCTCACTGCAAGAGAAAGAGAGAGAGATGGAGAGTGTGAGTGTGAATGAGAGATATACATAAAGAGAAAGAGAGAGAGAGAGAGAGTGAGAGGGTGAGATATGTAAGCGATAAGGCTGTGATTGTGGGGACTATGCTATTATTATTATTTCTGTTTTGATTGTGAAATTAAAAGCAAATACAAACTGGACCAACATGAGACAGCAGATATTCGCGTGGAGAGAAGAGAGAAAGAGAGAAGAGGCTGGCTGTCTGGTGCCCAAACCGCTTTTACGAGTGTACCCTGTAGTCGTAGAGCACAAGGGTATTATGGTACTCGAGCTTCAACTCACTATAAATAAATAAATAATATTGCCTGCCAAATATTTCTGCCAGAATTAATTCCCAAATTAATATCCATCCAATATTTAAATATTCCATTTAATGAAATGGTATCCAATAGTCTCTAGACTCTAGACGTGTCTTCCCTGTGTTTCCAACCCACAATGAGTCAGACGCGGTGTAGCTTGGCTTATATATTTAAAAATGGCACGCGTCTGCTATGACTACATTTCTTATCGACTGCATGATAAGGAAGAAATATTTCACAAGGGCAAGGAAGCAGCCAGAAGTGTCTCTCTCTCTGTGTGAGATGGACTTCAGTTCAGTTGACATGGAAAACAAAAACTAGTTGTTTACCAACTACGCATTATACCCCTTGGCGCTCGGCCCTCGGCCATCGACCGCCGATCAGCCGCTTACAACATGTCTCCAATGAGCTCATCGTCATAAAGTATCTGACGCAGTAGCCAGAGATACAAACACTCGAAGCCATTTAGCCAATTGCCTCTACTCGAGATCATCCAAAACGCTCTATGGAACGCACACGAGTCCCATCTTTATGCCGATCAGCGTCAGAATTAACCACCAGCACATCACATCATTGAACACGCGACCAACGACTGTGAAAAATCAACAGAAATCGTTTTCATCTTGGGCGACTTTTTTTTCTGTTCATTTCGGTGTCAGGCCTGAGCGGCGATTGCATGCCCTACTTACACTCTCGTAGGAGATACATATAGGTATATATTTTTATAAATAGCCGGCGTGTCCACAAATGAGTCGTGAAAATGCCAGAAGATGCCAATGAAGGATGGCCAATAAAGATGGTGCAATTAATTGCTGATTTTACTCAGAATCAAGTCAGGGCTGAATTATTACAATTATGTATATCTCTACGATAATTATGGTATATAATTCATATTTTTTGTTGACTAATAGAATATCATCAGGGTTAAATGTTCAACATCAAGGAAATAGTTGATTGTAAATAAGTTTTAATATATTTAAAAAATAAATCTTAACCCAATCTGATACCCTGCCACAGCTGAAAAGTTCAAAACGAAAACCTCCGCCCACTAATTTGAGTGTTATCAGTCAACTGAGAGTTCGATCAGTGTCCGTCAGCCATCGATCAGTCATATGTTGAAGCCCACACCCCCTAGAAACCAACCAATCATCTATCCATCCATCCATCCATCGCGTGTGATGTTGTGTCAATAAGGTGCCTGCCTAACTAATTCGTATTTGCATTGGGTTCAGTGAAAGATACGTGTATCTATTATCTACGGCACTTTAAAGTGTGAGAGCGATCTTTTAGCGGCACTTTAGGGGTGTGAATTTAACGCTCGTTTCAACGCCTCATCATCCAAGTAGAAAAAAAAAATGCCATCATCGTGGTGATATGATATTCTTTACTTGAGTCTGAAAACTCTTATCAGTTATATTGAAGGCAGTGCATTGAAATATTTCGATTATTTATTGATAGTTGAACACAAAAGGCAATTTGCACTTGATCAAATATGAGTGCAAGTGTTGATAATACAATACAAACACTGATTGTTAAGGCATACTCGTACAGAGGCAAAACGCAGTTTTGAATTTACTTTGTTCTCAAATTGGAGCTTCCGCTCGCGTGCAGAATCTAAAATTCTTAGAATTTTATTAAATTCATGGGGAAGAATATGCCTATAAGTATATGCATACATATATATTCAGACTCGGGAGATCAAAGTCGATTTGCCGCACAGAAACGTGCTATTCTGTATATATTATACTCTTGCAGCGGGTATTCTAATTAGTGGGGGAGAATGCTGCCATTAATTGGAAAAAGAATTTCCAAATATATTTACAAAGCAGAATGGATAGAGCCAAGGCACAGCATCGGCTGATTCATTCCCTATAGTTTCTGAAATCTGCAAATCTGTTATTTAAATTCTTACGAAAATTTTATTTATTTACTTGCATAAACAATTCAAAACATAGCTAAAGTCTACGTATGAGTTGTTGCTGAATTGATGAATTTTTTTGTTCTGATTTAGGTACAAAAAAATGCCTATTTTCTTTAAAAATATTCCTCGCGAAAATATGCTCATTTCCGGCTTTATCTGGGCTTTTTGATATTAGTGGTGTGTCTCCGTTTTCTATATGCACGTATCATACATATATCCAAGCTATCCCAGTATCAGATACAACGCCCTTTTGTTGTATAAATATGCTTTTTATTAATCGCGACAATTGCATTGAGATTTGCCGGAACAAGTGTTTGCGGCTCCGTCTGGAGGTGGCTGGGATATAAATATACCGGCTTCTGTCTATTTGTCCGGCTGTACGTTGTCTAGGGCGTAGTCTTAGTAGCTGAACTGCCCGCCCTCGTAACTGTTGGACTGTTGGCACTGTGTCTGGCGAGTCTGGCGGGCAAATAATTTGCACATTTGCATGACTTGGCATGAAACAGTCACAACATTCGCTGGCATTAATAAGATAAATTTTGCAGCATGAGTAAACGAATCGTTAGAACTTCTTCGCCTTAAGCCACTCCCAGGGTGAAGCGCAAAAAATACCCGAGAACAAAGTGCCTACACAATTTACATGTTAATGTCAGGCGGAAAGTTGTGCGCTGGCCAACTAAAGAGGCTGGTCGGGTCTTCGGTCAAACGGCGGTGAGTCCCCAGCAGGCACGTGATCTGGACTGATCACTCGATCAATGTGAACAACATGAATAACAGCAGCAAAACAGCCACAGAGATACACAATAATAAAAATCTATATCAGCGTGATTCCCTGGCCTGGACAAAGAAGTTGTGAAGCAGCTCTACGAGTAAGCCCCAGCCGGTTTTCGTCTCTCTCTCTGTCTCTGTCTCTCTCTCTCTCTCTCTGTCTCTTGTTTTTAAGCAATGTGACGTCACTTTTAACGTTCGTTTTTGTATGCATTTCGAAGCTTGAATCTGAAAATATTTAAATAAAGTTTTTGCACTCACTTATGGACTGCACCCAGGGTATCCCCAGTCCCCTCCAAGACCAAACACATAAGTTTATCAGCAGCAAAATTAAAGCACTTAAGACCCATAAGACCATAAATAAAATTCATATAAATGATATTTAACCCATATTTGTTGCTGGGCCGACAGCCACCCCCACACCCACTCCAAAATGGGTGTGAATTTCGTTTTGTGCACTTGTCCATACGGTTATGGCGTGTGCATTCCCCTACCCCCACTCCACCGCAAGTCCAAAAATGGGCAGACTGCGGCGATAGGGACAGGCCCTGACTGAAGCAGCAGAGTCATTAATTTACAACGCCATGGTCCGACCGTGGTGTGCAGTCCAGTCCAGACCCGTCCCGTCCCGTCCAGTTCAGTTCAGTCCAGGGACTTGTACTTTTGATCATCATGATGTCACATGTCCTTGGGCTGGTTAAATGCTCATCAATCGCAGGGTAATAATGATGGGCCTCATCGAGTCAGTTGATTGCATTGCCCGATTGGGCGAAAGCTGGGGGGGATTTAAGACGAGTTGAAGACCTGATAACAGCTGCGCAGTATGGTAATGCAGGCATAATGAATATTTGCGCGTTGAAATGATTGCCAATGAGTGGGCACTTCTAGGCCTGAACACTTTTATTATATAACTCTGCACACTAAAAGCTGCTTGAGTGATGGCTGTACCGCCACTTCCGTTTCTAAAACTTACACAATCCGCCCAAAGATCAACAATCAATAGCAGCGATTCCATTAGTTATATTTTTTTTTTCATCTATATATTTTCAATAGGCCCAGTCAGAGGCGCTAATTGGTTTGGCACTTGGTCAGAGTCATCTTGGTTCTCCAACTCAAAATAATTAGACACTTTTATAATGCCTAGTGCCTAATGCCTTCCTTAGCCTAGGTATTTTCTGTTAATTGACAGCCCTACGCTATACGTTGGCCACACCCCTCAAACTGGGGATGACTCGCAGCGAGGAGACAGGTTGGACAAAATGTGTGTCATTTCCGCTAATACCCATATTTATTGAATAATAATGGAATATTGACAGTTTCCGTTACATGATAAGATTACGCAGAAAGGAAACTGCGGGCAGTACTCCTACTCCTACTCATATTCGTATTCGAGAGAGACAATCAGAGAGTAAGCCCAGCTTGGCCACTCCACATCCACAAACCCCATTCAATTAGCTCTGACCCTTGGGCTTAGACTTTCTCCTCTCACGGGGAATATGGGGAATATATATAAACATTATTTTTTTTTTTCTTTTATCCGCTTATAATTGAATCAAATGCGGTATAGTCAGTGCCATTGGCATCGCCAACAGCAAAAGCAAAGGCAACAAGCAAACGCAAAGGCAAAGGCGAAAGCAGAAAGGCAAATATTGGCACAACTTTTTATCTGAGGGATGTAACTTTGTTGTCAGCTCCAGCTGGCATCACCCACCACCCTGACATGGGGTTACTCCTCTGCTGTGCCATGCTATCAATATAAGTGTATCTATAAGTATGATAAATTTTCTGTTACAAACACACAGATTCATAAACATTCCATACGTAAAAAAAAAAAAAAAAAAAAAAACAAATTGCAGTTGCTGCGAACTTTTCCTAGACAAACTTGTACATGTTACAATATTTATACTGCTCATGAACATATATTGTTATTGCGGTTTGGCTTTTTGCGGTTAACGGAATGCAAATGTA